AGAAGGCGGTGACGGGGCCGGCGACGGCGGAGGAGGCGGTGGGGGTGACGGGGCGGTGGCGGCGGCGGCCGCGGTGGCCCAAAGTCCGGATAACGGGCGGGACAGCAAGTGTGATCCACATCAATAAACGATACGGCCGGATAACTGCCAACGTTTATAAAAAGGTTGTTGGCAGTGTTGCACGGTGCCGCGGCACGGATGCAGATCCGCCGCCCCTTCAGCTGCCCAGGCGTCTTATTCATGCTCGTCCACCTGAGCCTGTACGCCAGGCTCGGAGGCACCTTGTCAAAGTCGACATTGACGGTAACCGGCTTGCCGTCGAAGAACAAGGGATACGTTACGGCGCTTAAGGCGGGCTCGCAGGCAGGCTCTGTGGATAGGACCGCGGGTTGAAGAGCATTAGGATTAATTTGTATGTATGTATGCATGATGTACGTATGCATGCATGCATGTATACGTTGTAATAGGTTGTGGATAAGGGAGGAAAAAGGGAGGGAGGGGGGAAGGGGGTTGCCGTACCTGCGCGGCAGTAGGACTCCCGAAAAGCCCACCACGAAGATTGCCCCCCAAACGGTATTTCTTAGGTACTGTTTTACGTATATCAATGGGTGATCCGCAGTATATCACCGCAGAACATCACGACCGTAACCGTACTCTTGTAACTCTTATAATTGTTTTGAAACCCAGAGCATATAATCAAGGGACCAACGAAAAAGTCATACAGTGAGAAAGAATTGTGGTTTGAGGAAGAAGCAGCAGCAGCAGCAGCAGCAGCAGCTGAGTGAGGCCAAGCTGACAAACGGCGTCGGAAGCTGCAGGAAAACGGAAACGCCTGAGATAAGTTATCTACCCCCCTGCTAAGGCCCTACCTTGAACTTGTTTTACAAATTGAGTAAGCCGCTAGGATGATTGAGTTCAGACATAAGCTGGACTTACAACTTTCACCGCTGAAGCTTTCGAGGGTTTCTTCCCCAAGGTCATACATAGGTTTCGCAAATCGCAAGCTAAAGTCAATGAAGTTTTCAAAGCGCTATTCGACCTAATTTTGGAAATCGTGGCATGGCGTCGTCAAAAACAGAATTGCTCTAGCGTCTAATGCGAACATCTTTAGTTAATATCTGAGGATGCCGTGCATTTACTTACTCATGGCCATCATCATCTTGTGGATTTTGCCGGATAGCTTCTGACAACAGGCATTGGTCGGATTGCAGCCTGGACATGTCACATTGAAGCAGAACTCCGACAAGGTGGCGTTTATGATTCGTGTGGTCGGCGAGCCCAAAAAGCAAGGACCGCCAGCCGCCGAGGAATCACATTTGAAGTACGGAAAGGTGGAGGTATACGCTTGCAGTAATTGCCTGTGGAAAAGTAACCCAAGCCGAGGGATGCAGAGAACATTTACAACAGCCGAAGCAGGACGATGACGGCGCGATGCAAGGCCGGGTGAATAAATGACAAGAGTATTTGAAGGGGAACAGGTGGGTGAGTGAATATTGATTGTAGCTGGATGGCGAGGGTGTCATTCGTAATTCCTAAGGTATACGGTATGGTGAGTGGGCGGGATGAAAGGCAGCGACCCGGTAGCGGTGGATGATCGATAGCGGAGAATGGGGCGGATTAGCAATAGAGCAATAGGGTATCGACAGAGATACTGAATATGCACTTGCAAGCCCACGCAACAATGAATAGTAGTAGGGATTACTCGTTCATCATGGGAAGCATTGGCAATGGAGCGCACGTGTGAATCTATGAATCTGTAGATGAACATATAAACAAAACATGAACATAGGAAGATGAATCTACAACACAGCACGGCCTAACCACGCGTCTTCACGGCAAGACATTGTCGCGACATAATAGCAGGGCCGAAATGTATTTTAAAGAACCAACTATATATGCTTTGAAATTGGTTATAAAATGATAGGCATCGCAACCTTGGCCCAGGTCGATGCTTGATGCTCGATAGATGGGTAAAAATGTAGCCCCTTTCAGTGGTAAGAAGTATTAGTTATCACAAATACGATTCAAAGCAAAATAATGTATGCTATGTTATCCAAAGGGCGGGATTCTACCTCTGGCACTTTATCGAACGAGCGGGAACTTTAGGTTCACATATAGATTCCTGCCATCACTTATTATTGTCGTTCTATAAAGTCAGACAATGCAACTACAAAATCTGTAGAAATTCCTGACCATTTGGCAACATACTAGCAAACGACCGGGACAACTCGTCGAACACCCTTTCCCTCAGCGCACCTTCCCGAGCTAGCTGAGACCGAAGCATCTGCACGTGATAAACACAAATACAACGCAGGTCAGGAAAAGTTACGCCTACCCGGAAGTCAAAGCCATAAGCATCGCAATGACAAAAGTAACAAGGCAGCTACTCCCACCTGCACGGGCTCCGCCGAGAGCGACGGCCAGGAAGACGAACAACAATGTCGCCTTCATGGCCGTCCACTATCAAAGTGTATCCGTAAAACCTGTGTTGCAGGGACCGACATCACGACACCCATAAGCAATTACCACTGAGACATAACGAGAATACAAGCGAGATCGTCCAAATCATATAAACGTTCTGGCTGGGCACATGAGAAGTAGTCACGTTGGGGCAATACGCCTGGGACTACCATCCGCCAGGTCCGAGCCCGATTGCGCGGCATACCTCCAGACCACAATGGAGAGACAAAAAACCGCTCAGACAAACAGTTCAAGACTCCAACTTTAATAACCCTAAGCCATGGCTTCGCATCAGCCACGAAGTATTAGTTGCCGCGGCGGCGTACCTTAGGCGCGCTTGCTCCTGCCCGGAAAAGGTCACCAAGGTAGGGTGCACCTCCAATATTCAGCCCTAACAATCTCTTCGGCAGCTCTTCCGCAAGCTTCCGTCAAAACTTAAGCTACGAGTCGGTCCGCACCCTAAAGCGAAGACGTCTTGTACCAGAGCTACAAAATCCGAATCGTTGAATGGCTGAGACTCGTGGGTTGATATATATATCGATGCAGCCCCCACGGAGTAATGCATTTTCACAGCGCTGGCGGCTTGCAAATAGCATGCTCGCGGGCTGCCGTACGGCCCACCGGCACCGTATTCACCCTAGATCTTACATTCGAGTACTACACCATGCAACGCATGTCTTTCGCATCATGGTTTAAATGTCAACCACCGAAAATTCACTTGAGGCTGAAATTTGATATGTGATCAAGGAAATTAGCGGGCTTGGGTAAGTTAATATCTATCTTATTGTATATTCGTGTGCTATACAATTGTAGCATTAAATTTATGATAGGTATAAAGAAATAAATGATGGCGTGAGTGCATACAATTGATGGCCACCTGAGTGGCTGTACTGGATCTCCTGTTTCGCCCATCTTTCTTTGCTTAATCGCCCATGCTTCCCTAGGGGAAACAAATAATATATACTAACTATGTTCATGAAGAAATAAGCTACATCATGTCCGGGAAGGAAAGTTCGTGATTATCGCTCGTTCGGCATGCACTTTTCGATCTGGAAGGCTTCCTCAATGCTAAGCATACATGAACATTTCTTCAATAATCAAGGATCTCTGTTGGTGCGAATTGACCTGCGCTTATCCACTCCTTACGAGCCGTCTTTTGCCTAGGTAGACCAAGTGTCAGGAACAGCACCTAGCCGCTCAGCCTCCTAAAGCTGTTAGCAATCTGAATAATATTTTTTCATATAAAAGCTTTAGGTGCTGGCTACCTAAGAATCATGAAGCAATGTTTTCGATGGCCCTGACCGCGCGTAAGCGTCGTCAAGAACTACTCTCTAGAACTCTGAAAGCCAGATGCAGCAGATATTTTGCCCTATTCTTCAAGCCTCGTCTCGGTCAGAAGTCATGTCATGTAAGTTTAACGATCATATACCCCGTACGGGAACAGCATACTTTTGCCAATCCAGCATTTATGCAAGATTTTAGTTAATCAATATAAAGTAGTGCATCTACAGCACATCACGCGCTGTGACAAAGCAGGACGATTTCCTTCGGCTTATCCAACGGCTTCGACTCAAGGAGCTCGAGAGCCCTTCGCGTCACAATATCAGCAGGTCAACGCGATACAACTCGCTTGCAACACAAGCGCAACACGAACGCAAGACGCATACTCTTCGAGTGGACGCCGATGAATTTCTTTTATCCAAAATGCTGTGCAGTAGGTCATTTACATTCCCAAGGGAATGCGCTCCCTGCCGAATCACGACGAAAATATGATAACGACTAGGGCGAGCAGGACTCGAGTGGCCGCAAGCAGGCATATTGCAGCCAAACCCTAGCTGCCTTGGCACCCCACGTTCCCAATTGGAGCCCTCCCCCGGTTATTGACCTTTCGCGACATGAGAAATGTCGACCCCGTAAAAAAGCAGAGCAAGCATACTACTTACAATTCCATTACAGTTCAGTCAATCATTTCTCCAAGCTCCAAATTCCTTTTAGCTTGTCCCGCTGGGCCAATTTCTCATGTTGGCGCTGCGTGTGCACACGTCGACGGTCAATCCAGGGAGGGGCCTAGCTTTGCCGCCGCGGCGCCACGCCCCGGGGGCCGCCGTCGGTGCGGCTTTGGGTTTCACACGGGGGGTTTCAGTTTCCCCTCTCGCCGCCTGGGCCCCCTTCCCCCATACAACACACGCTCTGCGACATGATCGGACATATCCTTTATGCCCCTTTCCTCCCGAAACGTAAAACGCTTCATAAAAAACGCGATTTCACCAGCCCTAGCTCCCAACTTCTTTCTTCGCAGCTTTCCCCTCAAACCCTAAACGGGTCGGGCGTTTTAATGATCTGGTCTGCGGTGTAGGATGTGCACGCCGTGTGCTTTTCCGTGCGTGTCTTCTCATACGTAACCCGGGACCGCTTGAAACTATTGGTACAGATGCGAGTCTGGACGTGGGTAGAGGCGTTGTGCGCATCCTTGCCCTCTTGTGACGGCCAGTAGCGCCTGTGTGACCGTTACACGGAAGCTGTGTTGCCATGCCACCACACCATGTCAGTGCCCGTTGTTTCGTTCCACTTTTGTTCGCAACGCCTTTTCTGCATGAAGATCGGTCCTGCATTCGCTCAGCTTCGGCCCCCACGCCCATTTCGCTCCGCACAACGAGAGCGCTATGTGACTTGCGCCCCATCTATCAAAATTGTATCCAAATTTATTGAGCTATTTTTCTGATGAAGTTGTGCACGTTTTCCGCGTGATTTCCTATGCGCTATCGATGCTACGACCTCGCTGCTCGCGTCGCGGGCGTTTCGCGTGCACGTGGGTGTCAGATTCACGGCTCAAACACGCAGCTACCCAGCTTCATGATTCGGTATCTTATGAAGCAATGGGCTACAGGCGCGCGCTTGGGAGCGGGGCCAAACGAACCGCGGACGGGCCGCAACGAAATGTCCGACCCAGCAGAGAAAAAAGTACGGCCTAGCATTCTAGACTTCCTAAAGCCCCACAGTAGTTCATCGATTCACTGGTTAGACCCTCAAACAGATCTGCAATCGTCTCGCTTTTCGCAACTCATCGTTTTCGCTTACGTCCGCTCTTGTCGCTGTCTGCTCGCTTCCGTGCCGTGAATTCCTTCCAAAAGCTCTGATACTTTCGGCCATTTTAACCATGTGCGCCCTGATGTATAATTTTGAATTTTAGAAGCTGTTTTCACAGTTAATAAATTAATGATGAGGTTAAACGCCTCACGATTCTTTCTCTCCTATTACAGCAAGCACGAAATTCCTCCATAGCGTGTTGGAGCGGTTCTGGCTCCTGGATGCGGATGTAGGAGCCGCACCCATTACGGTCTGTCACGGGCTGGAGCATCGTTCCACCTCACATCCTCCCCTTCTTTTCCATTTCCTCTCCTTTCTTGGTTGGCTACAAGGCTGGCGGAAAGTAAGGAAGAGTTACTTCCTTCCTCTTGCGTTTATTTTGCTTATGGCCGAACTGATTAAGGTTTGGCAGGTTGGTTCGTCCATGTTGGCGAGATGGAATGGAAAAGGAAGACGGGTTGGCTATGTTGGCTCGGCCACGGATGCGTTTCCGGGTTTGGTGTCTTTAATTTTGCGAGGCAGAAATCATTTGCCCTGAGGCTGGCGTGAACTGGGCGTGACAAATACGTACCCTGATTAGAAGGAGCGCGGAGGCTACAGAGCTGAGTGCTTGAATGTAAATGCTCGTCGCTCCGTACCGGACTAGCGTGAAGTGGGCCTTTGCGTCCAGCCTTACACCCGATCCCAATGTTTAATCAGGCCACACCACATCCCAATGCGCTTAATGGGTGGGTGGGAGGGTCTTCGGCTGGTCCGCAAGTTTTAAGCCTTGGGTCCGGAGCGGCGGTAAGATGCTTGCATTTATGACAGGGAAAATTATTGGCTACTCTTGCGTCTTACTGCGGTCTCCAATGCGCGTGGGCGATTTACGCCCTGTTCATCTGCCTACTTGCATCGCGGCTGATCTCCTTCTCCTTAGGTTTAGATTAATTAGATGTAAACCACTGATTCCCGGTTGTCCTGAATGTGCGATCATTCTGATGCGTTTCCGTACCGCTGTCGTGCCCAGGTCGATGGCTTTGCCTTTCTTGGCACTGACGCGCCTAGCTCCGCGCAGCCTTCCTTTGTTCCTGGATGGGGCTTACGTGGCGTGGTGAGGTGTCGCCGAGCTATTGTGTTGTCCTTGCGCTTGCGATAGACGGGCCCGTCTCCCCGCAGGTCCCTCTTCGCACTGGCGGCCTCGGCCTTCATGGGGGTCCGCTTTCCTTGGTTGGATTGTCGGCTCCATCTCTCGAGTCTCCGCCTTTGGCGCCT